GCTGCACTTGCAGCCACCACGAAGTCCGTAGTTCCTCTCTTGCGTTGTTCTCGACTTTCATCGCTGTCATCGGCTGTGCGCGTGCCGTCTGCTTCTGCCCGGTCGACGTTGATTGGCTGTCGCCCGCTGTATTCAGGGCGCGCGCGCGTCGTTGCCGTCAGATGACGGGGCGCGGTCGGCGGGCGGCCTCAATGTATCCAGCGCTGATGGCTGTTTACGGCGGCGCCAGAGTGTCGGCAGTTGTCAGTCGGCCGGCTTTGGGCTAGGCCGGCCTGGGATGCGTTCGACTCGAGTCGCTGGACTGCACGACACTGCACCACACTGCACTACGCTGTACTGTACTCCGCTGCACTGTGCTTCACCACACGGCCCGGGCCGGGCTGGGCTGGGAAGGGCTAGGGTGGGCTCTGGGCTGGGCTGGGCTGGGCTGGGCTGGGCTGGGCTGGGCTGGGCTGGGCTGGGCTGGGCTGGGCTGGGCTGGGCTGGGCTGGGCTGGGCTGGGCTGGGCTGGGCTGGGCTGGGCTGGGCTGGGCTGGGCCGGGCCGGGCCGGGCCGGGCCGGGCCGAGCCGAGCCGAGCCGAGCCGAGCCGGGCCGGGCCGGGCCGGGCCGGGCCGAGCCGAGCCGAGCCGAGCCGAGCCGAGCCGAGCCGAGCCGAGCCGAGCCGAGCCGAGCCGAGCCGAGCCGAGCCGAGCCGAGCCGAGCCGAGCCGAGCCGAGCCGAGCCGAGCCGAGCCGAGCCGAGCCGAGCCGAGCCGAGCCGAGCCGAGCCGAGCCGAGCCGAGCCGAGCCGAGCCGGACCGTACTGAACTGGGCCAAACTGTTCAGGGCTGGATTGGGCGGGGCTAGAAGTGAATGTTGCTGCATCAGTGCGAGAAGCGGTGCCGCATCGGTGGCTTCATGGCATTCCTGTTCTTTCCGTCCCATGCTCGACCGAGCGCCCCCAACCGAGAGCTAATCGTTCCGGAGGTTAGTGCCTGTGCCCTGGCTGAGGTGAGGCAGAGACTGGTGGCTCTAGCGGCGGACTGTGACGTCACTTCTGCGGCGGCGGCAGCGCATGCCGGGCGTGCGGTCAGGACCAGCGAATGTCAGGCCCGGCCGGCGTGCCGGCGCCCGCTGACCCGACCCGCGTACCGACGCTGGTGACCTGGCGTCTGCGGCCGGCGTTGATGCATCGGTGTGACGCTGTGAAATGGCAAGGCGTTGTGCCTCGTATTGGAATTCCTTGCTCCAGCTAGTTTTGCTGCAAGTGTCGGGTCGCATGTGCGGTGAGGTGCTCGCGATGTCTTGCTGCCTCGCCCTAATGCTTTGCTCTCTTGATGCAGCCCCAATTGCGACGCCGCATCACTTGGAAATGACAAAAAGTCTTCCACAAATGGGTTCATTAAGCACTGTTGGAATGGCTCCAGACATTTTCTCTGATCAGCTAAAAGCTGTTTTCCTCAATCTCTTCGTTTCCACGTAACATTTAGCCAGATTAGTTCGACGGGTGCACTGTACAAAGAACAAACGCTCTGCGGGACGAGTTCGCCGTCGCTGAGCGCAGCTTGTCGCGAGGGCCGTAGCCACATCACCCTTAGGCGAGCAGTTCCAGTTCAGTGACACTCAACACCAGCCGGATTACGGCAGTGTCACCTACCGCTGTGCCCGCGACACGCCGTCGCTGCGTCCGGAACTCACGCGCGCTCCGTGATGCCCGGCTCCGTGACGTCGGTGGACCTCTCCGCGAACCAGGCGCTCCCCGTGATAGGCCGGCGGCGCCCGCGGCGTCGGCGGCGGGCGGCGGCCTCGTGCCCGGGGGTTGCGCGGCGACTCTTCACTGGGAGTCAGTTTTTTCCAGCTTCGTCTACGGCCGCTAGCCAGTTCGTTTGCTGATCCTGTGGCACGCTAACTTTTTCATTGCCGGGAGGGACGCTGAGCGTGAGTGCCGATGGGTTGCGTCATGTTGGACCGCAAGTTATATTCGGATGTTTGGACGGTTGAAAGTTGCTGTGCCGTCGCTGCTTCTCAAAGGCAAGGTGTACTTTGGCTTCGTTTCAGGTAGAAACATTCTCGCTCGTGCAGTGTTATAAATGCGCTGACGTCGTATCGCGGCATTTGGGTAGTGGCAAGGTACGGTGTGCCGTGGACATTTCAGTAGCGCTTCTTAAGTTTGTGGCGCAGCATCCGTCCTACATAACGCACTTGGACTTCCAGTCTTCGGCTCACTTACATTTACCTGGAATGTGTCTCAGAATTCCTACTTGTTACCCTGGCCCCAGCCACAGCTCAACCCACAGCCCGGCCCAAGCCACAGGCCGGCGACAGTCCTAACCACAGCCGAATCCCAGCCACAGCCTCAGCCCCGCCACACTCCAACCCCAGCCACAGCTGAATCCCAGCCACAACCTCAGCCCCAGCCACAGCTCAACCCACAGCCCGGCCCAAGCCACAGCCCGGCGACAGTCCCAACTACAGCCGAATCCCAGCCACAGCCTCAGCCCCGCCACATCCCAACCCCAGCCACAGCTGAATCCCAGCCACAACCCCAGCCCCAGCCACACTCCAACCCCAGCCACAGCTGAATCCCAGCCACAGCTCACCCCAACCACAGCTCAACCCCAGCCACAACCCCAGCCCCAGCCACAACCCCAGCCCCAGCCACAGCTCAACCCTAGCCACAGCCTAGCCCCAGCCACAGCTCAGCCACAGCCACGATTCCAGCCCCACTCGTCCCCAACCACGATCCCAGCTCCCGCTCGTCCCCAGCGCACCGTTGCTCGGTCTGCCACCTGTTGGCCGCGGGTGTAATCTCCCCCGGCGTGTTTGTCGCTCGCCGCTCGGCGCGCAGGATGCTCAGATTGGATTCCGACGACACTGGGTGCGCGTCCGCCCGTCCGCGGAAACTATAATCTGGACGCGATTGGTTCTCAATCGAATCAGCTCCGTTCTTTGAGTTGCCGGCGCCGGCGCGCGGCGGCGACGGCGGCGGCGGCGATGACAGCGGCCTCTTGGAGGCGTGGCGGCGGTAACGAGCCATTCTTCGCCGGTCGGTGCTGGCGAACGGGAGCTGAGCGGAAAACCCAGCGCTGGCACGGGCCCCTGGAGAGTCCGCGGCGGCCGCGGCGGCTGCCGGGACGGCGCGCTGCGATGGCTACGACGTACGACTCTCCTGATGGTTGCTATGTCGTCTGGCGGTAGATGTGCATGCATAGCTGATAGACGTGTGAGTTGTGTGTGATTCGTCTCCTGATCTGCTCACTCACGTGCTCTCTGGTCTGGCACGTCGCTCGGGAAGCGCACACTGGCGGCCGAACGTTGAAAACGGAGCCGGCTGGAGGCCGAAGTGGCGTATCATCTCTTCCTATGTGTGTCACTCGCTGACGCAGCCAGGCGTCGGCCGCGAGCGCCGGCGCCGCCGAGCCCGGCGGCTCAGCCCTAGCTCGACCCCGACCACGTCTGCACCCTGGGCGCCGGCGATCCCGGCTTACGGCGCGGGCCGGCCCGGTGGCCGCCCTTTGTCCGGGCGCGGCGGCGAGGGCGGCCCGTTCGCCGCCGCCGGCGCCGTGTTAAGTCCCGCCTCGGTCTGATGGTGCGGCGATGATCCGCCGCCGGGCCCCGCGCCGCCCCGGGTGGTCGGGTCGTCGGTCGCGGACGCTGACCCCTCGCCGCCGCCTGTGTTTTGCGGCGCTGGGGTCGGCGGACGGCGTGAAACGGCGCGCCGTTTTCGCGCCAATCCAGGCCCGCGGCGGGATCGACATCGCAGGCTCGATTCCCGCTTCGGGGTATTTTCGCTGGCCACACCTCCGCGTGTGGGAAAGCTGCACGGGCGTCACGCCACTGCCGCCGAGGCACTGTGACGCCTCTTACCTCAGGACTTGTTTGCGTCGATGCATGGTCTCAGAGCTAGATTATTCGTTTGTTATCTTCTATTCGCCGTTTATGCCTTGCCTGGCTTGCTTTCCATCGGTTGGGGTTGAGCCGACGGCAGTGGGCGGCGCTGCCACCCCCGTGCCGTGTTTGCCCCGTGCATCGCCCCCGCTCGCCGGCTCTGCCGCCGTTGGCGGTGCCGTCGTCTCGTCGTCCAGACATGGCGGTCGACCGTAAAGAAGGCGGGCCGATGATAAGGTCGTCGCCGCCGGCGGCTCTGGTGCCGACAGCCGGGAGGGGGCGCCGCCAGCGATGGTCGCAGGCAGGGCTGGGGACTCTTCACTCGACGTCGCCGGCGGCGCGCGTGGGCCGGCGGACGGCGCCGCTGCTGGAGGGCGCTCCTCAGCGCGCCGGCGGCGGCAGCTCCGATGTATTGCTGCGCAGTGTCAGCTCGCAACGCGCTGAACCAGTGCTGGCTGTGTGATACGACTCAGCTGAGCACGCACCGCATGCTATCAGTGCCCTGTGTGCCCAGCCGCGGGCGCTGGATTACGCGACCAGAACGGCCGCCCAACTGCGGAGATGGGATTGATCTGTGGTCGACGACGAGCTTGAGCTATGACGTTGGCCTCGTTATGTTGGGTTACGTGTCGGTGGCTTTTTCACTTGCCGTCTACACTGTACAAGACGGCTACCGCCCACCCCCGAACAGGTTCGGCTCAGCTCTGAGGAATGTTTCAGAGCAGCTTACCAAGCGGCAGTGTAGGTAGCTGAATACCAAGTACGAGCTGAAGGACAGGGCTCAGGGCTGAAGGACAGGGGCCCGTCGCTTATGTTTGTGTGAGTCAAACAGCAGCGTATAAAATATCTGAGATCCAGCGCAACAGTTCTTATTTGATAGGTCTCGTGGGTCCACTCACGCACTTCAGCGTCATAAATTTGCATCAACCGGTACCATTTCCGAAAGATCGTCTTTAAACTAGTGACGTCTTCTTTTAGTGTTACGTTACGTTCAAGTGGTTAATGGGGTTATGTAATCGCATCATATGTGCCAGCCTTCGGTCACTCCACCTTGCTGTGACGCCACGCACAGGCAACCAACGACATGACACGTGGTGCGTACGGTCAACAGACGGCTGTCTCTTCGTTCGCAGCTTCTACTTCGAGAACTTCTACGACCTGATCGCCATAGTTGCGGGCGTGGTGCAGACCGTGCTCTACTGCGACTTCTTCTACCTGTATATCACCAAAGGTGAGACTGTGCTTCGGCGCGACGTCATCTGCAGGCACGTCACCCCACGCGCGTCACCTGCAGGCACGGGATCCCTGCAGGCGTGCCACAGGGGCCCCTTGGTGTGGGCGTCCTGGCCGCGCAGCTGGAAGGTACAGGCTCTTTGCGCGCGTAGGGCCGGGCTCGAGTCCTGCCCGGGATGAACGGGGGGGGGGGGGGGGGGGGGGGGGGGGGCTCTTCACAGCTGCAGTCGGCCCGCGTGCCCGCATGCTGGCGTGACGCCCTCTCGGCGCCCCGTGCGGTCCGGCTTGGGTGTATGCGACGTGTCAGGACCTTTTTTGTGCTCCCTTCCGCAGGAAGTCCTCGTTGCTCGTATCGAAGGCACAACTTTTGTTTTGCTCTACTGTTTGATGAACCCTTTGCGTTTGCGATAGCTGGTAAATGAAACTGGAGCAACTTTAAGATTTACCGACAAATGCGATCTGGTACTTGCAGAGCGCTGGTTCATGTGGTGAGCCTACCATCCGGCGGATGGCAAGAGAGGCTGCATGTTTTCCATCAGCGTGTCAGGGACTTCCCTTCCCCCTGTTCCAGGAGAGGGTGAAAATTAGCTTGGGTGTAACCACTGGGGAGGGGAGTGACTCTGGGATGACAGGTCTCTTGCAATTTTCCCTCCAAAAGGGGTTTTGTCTCCAACACTGCCTGTGAAAATGCACGTTTTTACGCTTGTGAATTGAAAATGCTAGTTTCAGGGAAGATTGTCCCCATAATTCAGTCTGATCCTTCCAATCCTGGTTTTTGCTCACCAATCTCGAGAGACGCGGGTACGCCCATTAGCACAGCCAAATGCGCGAGCGGTCTCATCAAATATAAATGTCCTGGATGCTCACCATCGAGATCGCATCCAGATGTTCCGACACGCCTACAGACACTACTGATGCACGTCGTTTTGGACACCACGTGATGCAGTTTGTCAGCCACCCAGCCGTGCCGGCCATCGTTGAGTCACAGCGGTAACGACCCCCCCCCCCCCCCCTCTAGTCCTGGCAGGACCGTCTGTAATAAGCACGCGGGGAAACTCGACCTTCAATACCGCCGGGGGCGTAGACGGCGGAGGGGGAGGCGTGGAGCCATGCGGACAATATCACAGCGTGCCGTCGGTCGGGCTTGGGGTGGTGAGAAGCCAGTGTGCTTGTTAAAAGCCGAGAATGGATTGGCTGCTGTCGGCGTGGTTATCGTGAAATCTGGGCGGTAGTTGTGCGTTTATTTTAGGCGTTGCGAGTTGGGAGTTCTCACTCTGGCAGTCGATCTTCAACAAACCAGGAGGTGCTGGTCAAAATGCGTCGTCGAGGCATTGGATTTATCGGCGTTACCAACCGAAGTAATCAGGCAGGTGTTGTCGATATAACCATGCTTTTTGACATCATATTTTGATCAGCACCTGGTATATTGAAGATCGAAGTACCGTTGTCAGAATGAGAACTGTCACCCGTGCTGAAGAGCAAAGAACCCAATGCTTCGCTTTTATCGAGTTGGAGAAGCATATGAATATCTTTCGCGCCGGTGAATATCTCGATCATTGCGCCTCATTTGCTTTGTACGAGTCATCTTTGTAGGTGCCGCCGCCCGAGCAAAAGTTCCTCGTGGATATGAATCTGATGATCGACATCTCATCTCCCGTGCCGCCTCCGTGCGTGGCGATGATCGAACTGGTATTCAGGCTTCATCCGCGCTCTAGTGTTCAGCCTGCCCCGCGCGCATTTTGCCAGCAGGGCAGACGTGCCGTTAACATTCCACAGTCACAAAGATTCTCCTGCGCAGCTTGTGCTCGCGCTGTGTGTGTGCGGCAGCCTGCGCTCAGTGCGCACGCAGCGGCCGACCCAGGACCAGCCTAGTCGTGAGGGCTCGCCGGGCTGTGGCCTAGGGGACGGGCTGTGTTCCCCGGGTCTGGTCTGGGTCTGGATGAACTCCGATGAGCCGGGTCGGGTTCGGTGCGCGGCTCCGCCGATGGCTGCCCGTCGGCGTCGCTCGCTGCCGGCACCCCGCCGCCTTCGGCCGTGACGCTCGCACGCGCCCGTGTCCGCGTCACACGCCCGGCCGTGACGCGCTGTGCGGCCGGAGAGCCCGGCTCGTCGGTGGACCGGGTGGTGGGGTTCCGGTGATCGCGGCCTCCTGTTGGGTCCGGTCAGCGTACCGCCGGACAGCCGATGTCGGCGGAGGACAACGGCTCTCCGCTGGCGCCGCGGAAAATGTGACGTCAGAGAGGGGTCGCTTTGTTGTTATCCCCTACAGGGCGGGTGGGGAGGGAAGGGGTCGGGTTACGCATCCGGAGGGAGTCGACACATGACCAGAAGCCGGTGCGCATGGGGACTGAGCCTCAGCCACCGGGGAATCCAACACATGCCGGACGCTGGTGTGCGCGTGTATGTGTGGGCTGTAAGCTGAATCATGACCGTCGACATCGGTTCAACCGGAGCTCCGGGCCTAAGGCGCAGAAGCCCGCAGCAGCGTCTTCGCGAAGGTGGTGGATGCCGGCAGTTACCTTCCGAGAACGAAAACTCACGCGCTTCAGCTTCTGAGGAGCCTGGGAGGCATGTGGTGAAACGAACGTTTTGGGGGCGTCGGAATCCCCATGCATTGCGCTGCTCGCGAGCGTACGTAATTTAGTAGTTCACTAATTGCCGGAGCAGTCAGCGCCGCTACCCACCCTTGCCCCACAGCCCTTCGGCGTCGCGGCGGGGAAGTTTGGCCGGCATCTCATTGCGTCGATGCCAGCATCTCGGTGATTTCACTCGGTACGATGATGGTATTTCCATTCAGTGGAGCCTCGTGGACTTCAAAGGCTGTGCTTCGGCCAGATTCCGCGAGCGATATTGGAGCCGTGTTTGCCCCTGCTGCCTCGGCTCGACCCTCCGGTGGCCGAGGCTGTGACGCGATGCGACGGCTGTCGGGTGCGTGCCGACCGAACTGGTGACTTGCGCGACAGGCGACCGAACCGCCGACCGAACTGGCGACTCGCGCGGCACGCGACCGAACCGCCGACTGACTGGTGACTCGCGCGACACGCGACTGAACCGCCAACTGAACTGGCGACTCCGCGGCAGGCGACTGAACCGCCGATCGAACTGGTGACTCGCGCGGCAGGCGACCGAACCGCTGATCAAACCTCCGACCGAACAGGCGACCCGCGCGACAGGAGACCGAACCGTCGACCGAATTGGCGACCCCCGCGGCAGGCGACCGCGCGCGCTGTAAAGCGGCACAGAGACATAAGTGCCGTTTGACGCTTCGAACACTGCCGCTGGTGCCTGGACATGCGGCCAGCGGGCAGCCGGCGCCGCTGGTCACGACGGCTGAGGGTGATCTGTTTAGCCTGACCAGCTCGCGGCGGTCCGCAAGGGATTTCCGATGGCTCAGCGCTGAAACGTGCGCCGTGAACGATGCTGGCGTGCTGCGTTCGCGGTCCTGTTGCCGAGGGCTTTCTAAATCTTTTGTGATCTCGGCGTCGTCTGGAGATCTTTTCGTTTGAAATGCTCGAGGGCTTGTTGGTTTAGCAGGTAGTACTTGGCGAGTGGGCTGCTCTCGTTTGATGTCGCAGATTCCATTGGCAGACTCTGATATCTGAGCGGCTGCTTGAAACTCTCTCTCGACGGGACCTTTCTCCACTCTCACCCGACGACAGGCTGCCTGGCAGCTTCTCCCTTCTCATGAGAAATTTCGAACTAAGGCTGGGAAAGCTAGTGAGATGCTGGTTGTTTAAAATATTAGATAAATGTATTTTTCCGGTTAATAGGTCACTTTTCAAGTTCAACATTGGTCTTGATATGTATGTATGACATCACCATTGATGAAATGGGCATTGAAGTGTATGGTATCTATTTCAAGTACCGGTAGCTGTCAAACTTGACTTGTTACCTTTCGGGCCCTTTGTGGCGCCTTAAGTCATGCTCGGCCATTCGGCTCACGCCTTTTTACTGCGGTACAATGGCATACACTAATGTATTGCTGCCCAGTGAATACTGGCATGTCATTCGATAAAGGCATTTTAAGTTGCTTATGCCTCAGAGGGGAATAGTATACCATATCCGTTTCGCCTTTCACATTTCAAACCTGCTTGTGGGACCCAACATTTTCGCTGGTCACCAGATTATACCCATCCATGTTACGACGACGCCACAAATAATGCTCGATGCAATATGACGACCTGTCTTAGATTACTTATGTGCGAAAGCCATGTAGGGATTTGTGCAAGGTCTAACGAGGTTGAATTCCGACATACACTGGATGGCAATAATAGCTGCAATGATGATGCCACGCGATGGGGAACAACGTTAAACGAGCGCGCCCAGGCTTTACTGGACGTGTTAAACTGCTCTGTCCGGCTGTGCACTGGGGTACCGCTGAGGACGGCTCCCTGGGTAACTGAGACATAGCCCCTCCCCTCCCAGTATGACCAAAGTCGTATAAAATTATGTATTTGTGATGTTTGGAGGGTCCTAGCAGCTTTAATTAGGAAGGATTGTTGCAGGGCGCTCTTTGAGGCAAAAGGAAGCAAAATCGGTTATTTTAATCAGGACGTTTTTATAACGGCTCCCTTCAAGTTGCGGCTCAGGTGGGGGCACGATATCTGTCAAAATTATTTTGATGTGGTGGATCGCTTTGCTTAGACACAAACGTGTGGTATCACCCACATCGAAATCGGTTCATTGATTGACAGGCAATATAAGCCAATCGCCAGTAAGGGCACTGCATGGACAATTTGGCGAGGAACCTGGCTGACATGACCATTATCATTGAGTCATACGTCACGACCTACGAGAAGAGAGAGAGAGAGAGAGAGAGAGAGAGAGAGAGAGAGAGAGAGAGAGAGAGAGAAAGAGGAGAGAGAGAGAGATAGAGAGAGAAGAGAGAGGGAGAGAGAAGATGAGAGAGATAGAGCGGGAGAGAGAGAGAGAGAGAGAGAGAGAGAGAAGAAGAGAGGAGATAGAGAGAGGAGAGGAGAGAGAGAGGGATAGAGCGAGAGATCGAGAGAGGAGAAGAGAAGAGAGAGAGGAGAGAGAGAGAGAGAGAGAGAGAGAAGAGATATAGAGATCGAAAGAGAGTAGGGAGAGATTCTCTCTCTCTCTCTCTCCTCCTAAAGACTTCTCTCTCCTCTTCTCTCCTTCTTCTCTCTCTTCCTCTCTTCTCTCTATACTCGCTCTTCCTCTCTCTCTCTCTCTTCTCTCTCTCTCCTTCTCCCTCTTCCCCCTCCCCGAAAAATGGCAGGGTGATAAAAGTCACAGCTCGGTTTCGAAGAATCACCCCCGTCTTCTTTCTTGGTTACAGAGCTGATTTAAAAAATACCTTCTAGCCCCTCCCCCCCGTCATCTCTTGTTGAGGGAGGGTAAAGTAGGGTCACGTGGTCATCTCGTGATGGTTAATGGTCTCCGGCAAGCCGAGGGGAAAACTTATTTCACGCCTTTGCTTCCACGTCCTGTCCACACCTCGGCTCGAGACATCGCTATGGCCGGACAAGGTGCGGCACGTGCCGGTTTCGGGGCGGCACCTCGTCTTCGGCCGGCGATGCTTTATCAGGCGGCTGCAGCCGGACGGTGTATCGAGTTGGCGGCCGCCGGTGTGCCGCGGCCGTCGGCGGGGAGGTGGAGCGGCGGCGACGCGCCCCGGCTCTGGTCTGTGTTTGGTCGCCAGTTGCAGGGCGTCTGTACACGACCGGGTCCCATTACCCGCGGCGGTCATGCGGGCAACCGGCAATGGACGCACTGGACCGACCGAACGGGAGGGGGGCGGGGGGGGGGGGCGTGCGGACGTTGCGTAAGTGAGAGTGGGGGATGTGTCGACGGACCGGTTTCCGAGTCGACTTCCGCGCTGGGATGTGACAACACAGGAGCTGCTGGAGCTGCCGTGCGGGCGCACATTACCTTCCCCGAAGAAGTCGGCTCGGTAGCGGGCATGGTGGATCGCACAGCTATTGGTATTGCTCGTAAGGGATGTCGCTTTGAGCATGCAGCCATGCGTCCTTCTCTGCCAGCTTAATAGAAGCATGCCACCTTGGCACGTCCCACTTTTTTGGATCAGGCGCGTCTGCTCTGATCGGTTAGACCAGTCTCGAAATCCGTCTGAATAGCTCGGAATTTCAATTTGGAGTGGCTACTCCTGCGGAGAAATCTCACTGGATTCCCTGCTCACCAACATGGAAGTATTACATGATAGGGAATGCTTCACATTGGTAGATATTGAAGGAAGCATCAGACATGATGACCTCAGCTCTGCTATAACCATTGTTTTACTTTTTAAGTGGAAACGACTGCTATGGACAGCGTCACTGTCTAGTAAAGACGCTCCTTAATGTGTCATGGGTTGACCGCGTCATTGTACCTTGCACAACATTGATTGAGAGCCAATTAACGGCCGTTATATCTGTAAATCGCGCTCACCAACCCCAGATATGAACGACTCGACAATTATATTTTTGTCCTTGATCGGCGCATGTCTTATGGAATGGCAGGATTTCGATGCTTTTATCATGACGTCATAAATGCCAAGGTGAATGAAATACTTTCCCCGATATGCCTTTCCCCATTTTCGCGGACGTTTACCTCAGTAACTAGAGGCTGCTCAGACGCTAAGAAAGGCGGGATTGTGAACAGCACCGAAAAACCTTCAAAATGGCCTTTTCAGTTCAAATCCTCATAGAAATGTGGAACACTTCCTTTAACGCACGACTCCTGTTGAACGTTTTTCAGCACACATAACGTCATTGCTGTGCTGATTTAACGCCATGCGCTCTCTGTGTTCCAGTATTGAAGGGCAAGAAGATCGTGTTACCAGCCTGAGCGTCATCTGCCGCCGAACCCGCATGACGTCATTGGAGGCGGCGTGACGTCACTGGAGAGCAGGCTGGGCGGCGCCGCTGAGCCCGACAGCGTTCGTCGCGTACCGGATGTGGTCCCGGTCCGGGCGCCGCCCTCGGGTCGGAACGCGCAGTGGTGTGGTGTGCCGAGTGGGGCACTGCGACGGCGCGGGAGAGTGTCGTCTGACGTGCCGGGGAGCGTGGCGTGAGGTGACGTCGGAGGTAGCGCTAGAGCTTGTTGGACCTTCCGCTCTCGAACGGATCAGCTGGCGCGCGTAGCGGCTCGATGGAAGCCATCGGTGATGGCGTTGCGCGTGTATTTAAACCCTTGACGTGCGCTTGACATGCCGCAACCAGCTGACGCGGCTTCATGCTCTCCCGTTCGCCGTCGAGACGGCGCACCGGGTGAGGCAGCGTGAGTGATCGCTTCTATCAGCTCCCTGTCGCCTTCAACGTGAAAGGCGCCCGCTTGTATCAAACTTCATCCGCTTTCTGTGTTTGCGTTCGATCTATCGGCGTTGTTTTCCACTTTGCGTTATCGAAGACTTGTCCGAACGCGTTCAAGAGCAGTTCGGCGGAGAGTATTTGGCGTGAGATATTCTTATTAAACATGGGATTAAAGTGCGTGGTGTGTTTTTGCCGGAGCGGTCAGCGTGGGTGGCTATGAACATCGCGGTATCTCTCGGCTCACTAGAGGCCGTCATCTTGACTTTATGCTATGAAAGAGCAACGTCGTGTGAGGGTGTGGACGGTCCACTCTAGTTAACTAAGCAAGCAGACTGTAACTTGCAACATGACGTAAGCTGCGGTCGAAAGTACAGCTGTGGGTGCCGGTAGCGTAGTGGTTCCACTGCGTGTTTGGGAAACCAGAGGTACGGGGTTCGATTCCCTGCGGCGCCCGCCATTCCTGCCAGGGTGAAAGGCAGGCGACGCCATATAGCCTCAGCAGGTGAGTGCGTCGTAAAGCCCCAATGACACACACAGAAAGTACGGTTGTGCGGCCGTCGCACGTGCTTGAAATGAGCGTGTTCTGTCAGCAACGAGCTAAACAGATTTACAGCGTACTCCCTTTCGGACCTAGTTGTGCTCTCATTATTGGGGCCCTGCAATAACACAACCTAGAACTTGCCACTCGTCCCCTCCTCACAGCCGCTGCTAGTTGGCGTACGGAGCTGCTGGTGCTGCGGGCTCTTCTCCTGTGCAAGATCTACTGACAGTCTCTCCGCACGACGCCAGAGTCGTAGTTTGCGGACCCGAGGTCGATGAAAACAAGTTTGAGAACACTGATGATAAGTAACTGCTTACATTTACAAGCATTTACCTTTACACTAACATACATTTACAAACACGTCAACACTGAGAGTGGAGAATCAGTTTTAGTTTTGCGTGTGATATTAGCAACAAACCGACGTTTTGAAACATTACAAGCTTGTAGTTCATATGTTGACAGTAAGCGGCCTTCAATACATGCACTAAAAAGAGCTAGAGAAGCCATGTTATCAAGCAAAGATTGGCTACGTTGTCATCAGGCGCAGTACACCCTCCTCAGTCCGTGCGACCAAAACCGCCAATCAGCCGCAGAGGTTACGCGTTCAGAACTCACTGTCTGATGTCGGACACGTGGTCATTAGTGATTATCAGCGCAGCATGACACGTCTTGCCTCGCAGGATGCGTTCCCAGCCATGATCAAACACCACCAGTCAGTCAGACGGGGTCGTCGGTACGCACGGAACGTGCCGGAGCTGCTGACTTAGGCAAATGCCTCTGGCCTGCGAGTGCTCGGCGCGGCCGGCACTGAAATGGATGCAGGCGGCGGAACTTCTGAGGCCAGATATGTGCCCAAGTGAGACAATGAGTCGGATTTCATCTTGTTCGTGTGCGGTCATCGGCAGTGCCGGCTGGGGAGCTGACGAAGGACCAGGTCACATCTTCAAAAGCTGCCGGAGCTTCAGTATAAGTACGGATGGCTGATGATGAAGTTCTTTATGGGGTTGCCTCTATCACTGCATGCCGGACTAAGTTCATTGGAAGGGCCACACGTGCAGAGTATGAGCGTCTTCTACTGGCAAACGACAACTGTGATAATTGTGTAATTGTAATTATGATAATAATGTAACTATAATTGCGTAATGCAATAATTGTGATAAGTGATTTTTTGGTGTTTATGGGTAGGCTCCAGTCAATTCACATTGATGACAGTATCACTGAGGTGAGCAGTTCCAGGTGTTGGCCTTTTCCGATCAAGCTATGCGGCGCATTTGCACGCCTTTGTAACTGTCTCAACCCAATAGATGTCCGTCCGGCAGTTCATGAATGGGAATAACTGACCGATGTGCTCAACGAGCAGAATTCTGCAGACAGCTTACTGAGAACGCGCCCCTCGGACTCGATTTGTTTTCTTCAGTCAAAGGCATTTCAGCACAGGGAAGGTCATAGTAACGCTTCAAAGCATAGACAATAAAATCACACGGCCAAAGCACTGAAGTGTCTTCACGGGCCCATATCTCCTTCCGGACACCTGCTCTAGCGTCTGAGGATCGGATCTTGGGCGTTTGCAGTCACAGAGAGCTCTACATCTGAAGTCACAGCGTGCGAGCCTCGCTCGCAGATGCCGGGGTTGGAAAAGTGCTGCCGCGCAAGACACGGGCGGCTACGTAGTATATGGCTATGCAGTATGGGTCGGTCTGTTAAGATAGTGAGTCCGTTCCTAAAAATAGCGAGCTTGCCAATAAGTGTCATGTCAGAGTATGTAAAAGTTTCCCTGTAGATAATCGGCCGAGTTCAGTCAATGAGGAAGAGACATGGTCATTATTGTTTTACTTCCAATGCAATTTTTCCGTGAAGCGCATGTCTTTTGGCAGCCTACGCTTCTATGGAGCGTACGCCTCACTCGTTTGATCATCCACGGTTCATATGCCGCCCAAGTGAAGGTAGCGGTCCAGGCGGGTATCACATAGAACAAATACGTGAGCATTACATAGAGCAATTACGGGAACTGCCATCCGAAAGCTTTTTGGCTGCACAGCCTCACTCGTAGATGTGTGGCAGTCCAGGTAAAGGGCACGGATCAGCGGCAAGGAGTCAGCAAATCAGAACATAGATGCCACTTGCGCATCGGATGACTAGAACGAACAGAGATTCCGATGAAAAAAGCGTATGAAAACTGGACAGACCACTATATATAAAACAGCAAGGTGTGTTACGAGATACACATGAGATACGTTCTGTGTTGCGTTGTGTTCTATTTGTGTCTTGCTTTTATCTAATAGCGAATGGCAGCGAACAGCAAGGTAGGCTACGAGATACACCCAAGCTGCGTTCTGTGTCGCATTTTGTTCTATTTGGGCCTTAATTTATCTAATTATAGCGAATGGCAGCGAATCGGCGAAAACATGTTATCCGTGATAGCGCACTGGAGGAGCACTGCAGCTGACATGGATCTGCCTTTGAGCAAAATAAATACGCGCATGTTTTGGACGGCTGTAATGTTCAAAGACCATAACGACATTTCAATTACGGAACTCGACCTGCCTTGGCATTTGGAGGGACAATGCAGAAATTTAAAACCTTAAGAAATTAATTTCAAGGCAATCGAAATTCATATAATTTGGCATCTTGTTATGCGTTGGTCTTATTCATAGATATATGAATCGTAATCGTAATCGTAATCGTAATCATAATTTATTACGATAGTAAATGGCAGTGCGTGATGGAAAAAGCTTTTGATCGCGATGGCGCATCCCAAGAACGCCACTACGCGGCTGACATCGATCTGCTTTGGGGCACATTCGCTTGCGTTTCCGCCTGCGTTTGCCTGCAGCGGATGGGCATCATAGCCATCACTGAATGTGGTCTCTGTTCCGTCCATAGCCGTGGGGCAACTACATCGAGCACTTAGACCAGATCTCATGCCACGTGGGCACTGGCGCCTGCTGTACATTGGTCTCGACAAAGCTCCCAGTAAATGTCGAGAGTATTTTTCCAGCTTCGCCAACCACTCGCAGATGTGGGAAAAGCAAAAGCGAGGCATTTATGTGTGCTCAGTGATGCGGGTTGTGTGAGGCTCTTCTTCTGTATGTCCGTTTCGCGACGACCCAAGTATTGTAAGGACGCAACTGCGGTATGCTGGTCTTGATGTGATCTGTAGCGGATGTTGAATGAGCGGTTTGACCTACGTTGGCCTGTTCACGTCACCAAACTGTCCTGGAGCGAACAGGGCCGGACCCATCGATATTTTCCTAAAGGGAATTTTTACATTTGAAGCTATTTAAGCAAACATCAGATCTGATTAAATGAGCTCACTTATAACTATTGGCCTGCTTTTAAACGGAAAAGGCCGCTATAGGCAATGCGATCTCTCCGTTTAGGAAACATGCTCCTCAACAGGTTACTATTTGATTACGTCATTATACCTTGCAAAACATCGATTAAGAGCCAAATGACGGCCGCTAGATCTGGAAACCGTGCTCACGAACGCCATATATGAACGACTAAACGATTATAATTTGCTTGGCCTTGATCGCCGCATGGCCAATAGAATAGTGAGATTTAAATAGTGTTATGGTGTTGCATGGATGCCTGGGTGGCCTTGAAAGCCTCTCCGAAATGGTCTGCGCATCTTCGGGGGCGCAAAGTTCAGAAGCTGTAACGGTTTAGGTCACAAGAAGGGTAGGGGTGTGAACTGCACTGAATGGTCCCCAAGGCGGCTCTTCAGTTCATAGTCCCATGCAAACGTGGAACAGTCACTTTCATGTGACGCGATACAAGTGGTCGCGCACCCCTGTACGTAGTGCCAGCGACTGCAGAGGCTATATTACCGTCTAGGGGCTATGACGCAACCGAGGTTCGAACCCGGGTCCACTACGTGCAAGACGAAAGCTCTGAACACTCGGCCATTACGCCCAAGGGCGCGTAATTGGGACATAGCCGGAGACATGTCTGCTGAGTTTTGGTACCTTTGAGGCTCGCGCATCAGGAATCAGATTCTATTAAATGGCTCGACAGCCCAAGTTTTGTTCCGAGGATTTCGCTGAAATTGTAGTTAGGTCTTAAGTGGTTATAAACTCGCTGCCCAAAAATGAATTTAGGCTCACATGTAGGATATTATACCTGTTTATAGCAATATGGGAGTACATTTCGCCTCTGGTCTGATGCGTTTCAAACTGCGCAGCCAGGGATGGCTAGACATGGCTACAAACACCACAGACAGTCAGAAATGATCAGCTAATCAAGCGTTTACGGATTAGAAATGCTAGTAGCAGCTCAGGTATGTCCAGGGCGCAGAGGTCACCATAGTGGCTACTTGTATTTAATATTGAACACGGGTATGCGCCTGAGAGCCTGGTTTCTTATGCAGGAAAGATATATGAACGCATCGGTGAGATGATTTTATCAGTAACGGATATATGAATGCTAAATAGGGGTCAATTTGATTGCTGTTCAAGGCCTCCAGTAGGGGATTTTGGAAATCCCGTCAGGGGATTTTGTACCGGGTTACGCAAGTCAGCTACAAGAATGAAGTGCGTGATGCCCTTCTTTTTATGCTGCCTGATTCCTTCCCGTTTAGTTTTGTTAGGTAACTATCAACTAATACTGTCATGTCATATCATCATATTGGATATTGGG